AATATCAAAATAGTGAAGAAATTAAAAATTGTGAATTTTATTTTTTTCAGGGATACAATATGAAAAGAGGCAAAATTTTACTGTTTTTGTTTTGGTTCCATGGATCTCGAGTTTAAATTGCATACCTATGAAAAATACCTGTGTGAAGTTGGCACCTCATTTTAAAGAAAATGAAATTTTTCGATATAGTTCCGAATGCACCCTGAAAAGTTCTAGAGTAAATGAAAAATTCATCGCAGGGAGTTACGGAAAGGTATTGATGAAACATATTCAAATACTAACATATCTTGACATTTTTCTTATGAATAAGGCTACTTTTTTTTGGTAAATTATCTTTCTTGTGCAATCATGTGGACGAAGTAGCCAAAAATATTATACAAATAGTTTTCATTTAAATTTTTGTTAACCCTGTCCTTAAGCTAATCAGAAAGAGGTTTGTTTCTTTGCGTTGCACTATGAACACAGTGCAATAAGTTGTTACTGTGTGCATCAGTATAGACAGTGCAGCGAAAAAGAACAAATCTAAAGCCTATCGCACATGGAATGCAAACAGTACATAAACATAAGACCGCTGGACCAATGAGCATCTTATGTTAATCAATATGGCAACTTTATGCTGAATGCTTATTGGTTCAACAGTTTTATGCTCATGCTCTATTATGCATTTCATATGCGATAGGCTTAATAGGTGCATCCAGAAACACGACCGCTCATTGAGCGCTCAGTCAGCTCTTGTATCTGTTTGGTTTATATTTTTAGATCTAATGGAATATGCCAATCAAATAAAAAAGCTCACTGAGCGGTCATGCTTCTGGATGAACCCAATGGTCGCGTTCAGCAGACTCAACTGTTGCGGAGCGGATCCGTGAACGCTCACTGCTATTGGATGATCTAAAAGAATATACCAATAGTAGCGAGCGCTCACGGATCCGCTCCGCAACAATTGAGTCTGCTGAACGTGACCAATGATATACTCGTACACAACTTCAATTGCGTAGTTCAAGAATAATTTTTTAAATAGTTTCCAAAAAGTTCTACGTATACCTTATGTAAAATATATATTTTTAACATACAAGTATTACAACTTACGGTACTTGCTGCAGTACGTCGTCAAGAAATTGCAATTGGTTGAACCAAGTAAACGAGAATTTCGTATTTTTCAATTCGTCAGCTGCTGCAGCTGCTGATCCACTTGGGATATACTGTCTTTTCTTACGCCTTGCCTTCACATAGCTGTCTCTCAATTGCGTCCATCTTTTACGGACTCTATCACAGTCATCGTCCCCTATGTTTAGTACAAAAGTACAATAAATATTACATTTTGCATATGTGATTGATAATTTAAATCAAGAGATCTCCCGGTCTATAGATTCGTCAAGTTCATAACTTTCCATCCTCAAAACGACCTCCAATGCGTTAATACCATACAATTCGAATACGTTATTATGTTCCTAAATTTATAAAAAAAAAACCCAGAAAAATTAGTTAAGAATTGAAAAGAAAAAACTAAAAAGAAGCCTTCATGTCAAACTTTTGACTTTATTTTACGTTTGTCTTCTTCAATTCTCAATTTTGAAAAGATTAGTGACATTTCAAAGGTTAACAAATTTAAAATTAGAGGATGATGTTACTGATGGATAAACAAGGATGAGCTATGAAGAGTAATTGCGTATTTTGGAATTAACAACTCTGTGTGTGTGTACAACATACCTTGTACGATATTCGCAACTTCTTTCCACAATGCTTCTTTTTTAAGATTATTCCGACTTTTTAGAGGCAATCGGCAATCATATAATGGTGGCCGTTCTTGGACTGCAGCTATCAGTTTTTCATTGTACTCGTTTTCGATTTGTTTCCCTCCGGACTTCACAGTCTTCGTCATCTTACCTTTTGTATCTGAACAATAATGAAAGAATTAATTTTACAATTTAGCACATGGACAACAGAGATGCAAAAATCTTTTCTTCCCAACCTACTTGATCTTTTACTCTGCAATTCTTCTACTTCATCATTCGAAGCACTGACAAACTTGTCCTTGTCAACTGTAAAATAATGTGCATAATATAATCAATTAATTTCATTATATTAATTAAACATATCCAACATAATTTTGCATTTTCTTGTCATGATACTTTACACATTAATATGCTGTTGCCATCAGAGCACAACACATGAGTGGCTTCATCAAATAAGCTAAAACAGCTATGCTCTTTAATATTTTCCCTAATCAAGGCAGTAATTACCCAGCCACAATGTCCACATTTCTGCAAAAAAAAATGCATCGCAAATAAGGACAGTTCCTCGTTATATTCATTTTTTTTTACTTCGAATATAAATATAGGCTCTGTTTCGTTATTCACTGCAAGTACTGAAAATTAATAGTTCGCGTTACGTATACTATAGATTTTCAGTACTATAAATTTTGCAGTACATAACGGAACACAGCCACAACCTCTAATACAAGAAGTATATATAATATGTAGTACTTATTACTTACAGTTACAGTGGGTGGTATATTTTCTATATTTGCCATGTTCCGCTTTTATTTTAATGATTTAGATTCTTTTTTTGCTTTACGAAAGAACTTTCTTCAATAAACACAAATTTCGTATACAGAACACTATTGCGCGCTTAAACAGTTCGCCTGGGTTTGCCAATTCATCAGTTTACCGTGCTCATTTCGATTCTTGGACAAATTCTACGGCTCGGATGTAAAACGGCGGATCGTCGGTGATTGGTCGACGCATTGATCCGTCAATACGTACGTATTGAGAAACGCTCCATGGGACGGCTCCCTGAGAGAGTACGTTTCGCTTTCCAGTTTGAAGCGAAAGGATCAAGTATCGTGGTTTTTCCAAATGCAACGTTGTCTTCACAGCCCACGAATGCTTCGTCGTGCTCTGAAGTAGAGGAAACTCGTAAAATCCCAAGATCGAAATCCCATGCTGAGATATCGTCCGTTTTCCAACGTTCTGTTATAGCCCGAATGGCTATCACTTATTTTATCAATTATTTCATTCAACCGGCATAGTAACCGGCACCGGAAATGCAAGTCTGCACATTCTTTAAACCGCGCGCGACAAAGCGTCGATCTAAGATCATAGCGCGCGAAATACCTAAATGCACTCGGCATGGCAACCAACAGCGGAAGTGCAAGATTGCACATTCTTTAATCACGCGATCGCGCCTCTAGCGCGACGAATATTACCATATATGGTCCGATCGAAGACCAAAAGCGACATCATCAAACTCAATATAAGCGACCGCCTAAATGCCGAGCGCAGAGTCTTGTCTTGAAATCTAAACGTAACGATACGTTACGCGCGTCGCGAGAACCGAGTCAAGTAACATCCGCGATACCGTCGCCGACCGGTTTACTCATAAGTCACGAGCGATAACTTTAAAATATATTCATTTAACTAAACAACTGTATTAATTAAATGAAAGTTACAGTTACTAAAAAGCATTGTAATCTTTAGTAATAAATAATTATATAAATAAAAGGGTACAACATTTGTAATCAACTATCAAATTGTTAAATAAAAAGGGTTATTTTAAATAGAAGTGTGGTGAAGTGAGTGTTTGTTCAACGACCTTTTACTATCCTCGTCTTTCCTTGTGGGTTCCAACCCTTTGAGCGGATCGAATCCCAAAATAATATCTTGTTGCATCGAGAGGTACAACAGTTCGCAAGAGTGATAATTTGTTTACGTCGTTCAGTATCACGTGCGGCATCTTTTATTATACTTTTGATAATGTGAGTGTAAAATCCTCGTTGTTGCTAGCGATAACGCAATTGTTGATACGCGCACGTATCAGGACGAGTTCATGTCGGGCATTTATCACTATACGTTTGTAGTCCTCACAAAATCCAAGAAGTGTGTTGAGCGGTACACAGAAGTTAAACTCTTCAGATGCTGTTATTGGTCGATCGAGCAAAGAGTCTATAGAAAATGCAATTTTCCATCCTGCATTCTCTAACGTTTTATTTCTTTCAGCTGTCAACGAAATATAATTTTTAATAGTGCTTGTAATACCGACGTTTCTGTTTCTGTGAATTTCAACTCCGTCCAATTCGTAACGAATCTCGTCGAACATGAATGCGACGCAGTTATTCGTCAGTTTCGGTGTTCGGTCGGTACTACCTTCCTTTTTTTTATGACGAATTTTCCCTCGATGTAGAGCAAACTTTCGCACGGTAACGTGTAGAGATCCTGGTGTTGAATCGGTATTCGTATTTCATCGCTGTATCCGAATGTAGTATTAGCGTACGGATTGTAAGTGTGAGTCCCTATTTTAACGATGCGATCGTCGAAGATCGGAACACCTCCGATCTTCAGGATATCACGATTCATTTCTCACGACGAATCCGAGAGATCGTAGAAAGGCGACGTTCGTGGCGTTCAATCGACCTCCTTTTTTTCGTCTTTTCGTTCGATCGTATCGATTTTTGAACGGTTGCCACAATGTCGACGTTTGCGATGCGTTCACTCCGTCGTACGAATCGTTCAAGACGAGCATCTTCCGCCTTCGAACATAGTATCCCCTAACGTCTACGTTGTATGTGAAGTCGAATCGATATCTCTTCGCCGCGAAAGTCGATCAACTATCCGTTCTGATCCACTACACGTATCGTTATATCGGTAATGTTTCGTGCAATGACTGGGAGATAAATGACGTGCGTTGGAGTAACGGATAGTTTATATCCTGGAGGAACGTTCACCGCGAATTCGTGTATGTGCCGGTCTGTCGTTGTTGTACGCAACCGAGGTAATATTACACTCAAATTATATTCACGTTCATAATTTTCACCAGTTCGTCCGACGCATACCACTTGTTCGGTCGTAACACGCGAGACGTCGAAAAGCCCAACAATAAACCGATACTGTTCGTTTTGGAAAAATCCACTAGATATTCACACTTGATCTCACTTCTCGTGGTGTTTTCGTTCGCGCGAAGAATCAATACAGATTTCGCCCGTTCCATAGTTTTTTCGTCCTCGTATATTAGATCTATCTCGTCGAATTCCTCGAGTTCGTCGTTGTTGATAGTACTCGGTAATGTATTGTGAACTATAGCGGTCCTCAGATACTTTTCGATATCGTTCAATTCGTACGAACCTACGGGAATCGTGATCGTAATGTTGTCGGTGTCGAAGTGGAATTTATTATTCGAGGAGGTGACGTTCGGTATCGTGTTGTACGTTTCGAAATTCGTAAGACCCAATTCGTATTCGCTATCGCTCAAGTCCAAAGCGGGGAAGTAATTCGCCGCGAGGACACTGTTTTTTCCCGTTAGTGTGAGAGTCAACGACATGATCGTAGCGCGAAAGCCACCGCTGAACTGTTCGGATTGTAGTGCGATCTATCACACGAGGACTTTTTTCCTCTTCCAATCGATCTCCCAGAGAAACTGTAGACACAACTGACCGCAAATGCTTTGATCGTACGACTGATATGATCGTCTGTTGTACGTAATGTTACCTTCGAGATATCGTTTGAGTTCCCTCGGTGGTTTGAGATTACCGAAACTGTCGAAGTAGACAGTCTCCCCTCTTCGCGTAAGCGACCCAGTGTGTACCGGGGGCTGTCGAATCGTCGAGGTTCACGATACCGCACTCGTTACGACGTGATTTCGTGGGTATCGCATCGCGCATGAATACAGCTCTGATGAACGGTAATTTTAAAGGATACGCCGAACGACTCAATTGCTCGTTCGTTGTGGTGCCAGAGATCGGTAATCTAAGAGTTTCCATCGTTTTCTTCCATGTTTTTTTTTTTTACCTTCTTCGACCTCTTCCTCATACGACCACCGCGTTTGTATGGTGCAATGTGCAGACCGCGACCCTCCATCGCGCGATTATGACGTTGCAATTCTTCGAGTTGTCGTCAAGCGGCTTTACGATCGCCCACCGCTTTCGCCACGCTAGCTGCTCCTCCGATCAAAAACCCGAGTGCTCCCAACACTGGTAAAATCGGTAGGAAACCACCGCGTTTCGCTACAGATAAAATCCTCTTCGACTTTTTCCTCCTCTTCACACCCATGCCCAATTTTGTCTTCGCCTTCATGGCTGCCCACACGGCTGTCGCGGCGGCTTTCTCACCGAACGTCGAATCGCTTGCTGTAATACGCTGTCGTGCTCTCTCGGCGAGAGCTCGATCAGCAATGTGTCGACTGGCTAGGTCTTTGCTTTGCGAATACGCGATATCGTGTTCGCGACAAGCTGCGTCTAATGGATTGATGCCTCGATCGCCGCGAGCTAATCGTTTCGCAAGTCTTGTGCCAGGTCCACAAAATTGATATCCAGGTATATGTAATTCAAATGGAAGCGCGTTTATCGTTGCGTTCAGTAAACCCTCGCCGTGCGCAGATATCATTTCGTTTTTTTCATATCTGTGAGACATTGGACACAATTCTTGATAAGAGGCGGTGGACCGTCTATATGCGTTTGTTGATTCGGAAGATTGTAATGCTCGAAACACGTACGACAACGTTTCACCTCAGTATCGGCTTTTATATGATCGGGTAACCGATCCCACAACTGTTCTATATAATTTCCAAAATCTCGCAGAAAAACGATCCTTGGTATGTATTGCAGTTGTTCGGCGGTAAAAGCGAGAATGTCACGTTTTTCTGTTATCAGGATAAACATTTTTGAACGATTACTAGTCACAATAGATGACAAACTGTGTGAAATGCTCGTATGTTCGCGGTATAAATAGTACGAGACTCTCCCGTGTCGCATCGAAGTCCGCGCACGCGCGTCACGAGAGCGACAAATGCGATTCGTGCGACAATCTCGAACGATAGGAGTATCGAATCTCGATCGGAAGACGCGACTGATGTCGCGTGAAACTGTTAGAGATAAGTGCAAACACGGCT